TATCTTCAGCTTTTTTTTCATTCGTTTCTGTCTTTATTCTCCTTCATTAAACAGAGCGCTCGTTATTGTCACGGAATATTCATACTGGTCTGTCGAATTTTTTCGGATCAGTTTTTGTACCACCACGTAGACGATCCCGAGCAATCGACGCAATCGCGAATCATTTTAAAATCGCGCTTTGAAGAATTTGTGCTGTTCCGGAACTGCTGTGATGATTGAGTCGCAGTTAGTTGTGCCACACTCCCTCTATCTGCGAATTTAATTTCAGGAAGACCGAGTGTTCAGTCGCCAGCTTTAGCGTTTGGTGTGTCTGCAGGTGTTTCTTATCCTCCAGCGAACAGTATCCCAGGCCGAACAGCCAGCGAATTATTGTAATTCTCTTTTTATATCAAACATTTTGAAGTTTCTTGCAAAAGCAAAGAGACATTTTTCCTTTTTTTGCGTCATACATGTTGCAGAAAGGAGAAAGCGTTTCTTAGAGATAATCCTGCTTTTGTCTTTTCAATCGCTAGATGAGACCTGGGGTTTTATGAATCGAAGAAGTGTTGATGCCATCACTGTTACAGTGTCCCTCTTGCATCTTACATAACCGAAAGATCTTTTAATAATTTTAGTAAAATTTTTAACAGTTGGATCCCAGATAATACTCTCAAGAAGAAAAGGTAACTTCGCTATACTGCAGGTTTTATCCGGATGCTAATCGCGTTGAGAACTGGCCATCATCGAGCACGTCTGCTCCGATGCCCAGCGGTGATCGTGTTATCCAGCTGACGTCGCCTTCTGCTGCTTTCATGACGTTGCGTGCACAAAGTGTAGGCACCGAGAGCAGTAGCTCACTGGTGACATGTACTCCTGCTGGTGTTTCACTGAGCCAGGTCAATTCGTCGGACTCAAGGTCTCATACAACAGTTCCCACCTTACACTGCAAACCTAAACCACTGAGAGGCACTGGTGCTACCTGTGCACCAGCTACATGGCAAGTTTCTGTACAGTTCAGGTTGTCTTGTGACCACATGTTGATTTAATAATCATTTCGGAGCAACTTCGTGAATTTTTTTTTT